GAAGATTTAGTGAAACTGCTAGGACGATTTACAACAATTACTAGAAACTTTTTAGGAAAAAAAGGATTTCAAGTAGCATTTCTGAGTTGGCCGAAAATGTCACCTGCATTCCCAGATAAATTTGTAAGGTTTATGAGAGCCCAAGAATGTTGGTAAGGAAATTTTTGTGATCAAAGTTACTAGAAAGACGGAAAACGCGTCTTAGGTATTCCCTGGAACGGGTATTTCCAGATCTTCAAGTACCATCTTTAAAAAGAAATTTACAAAAAGGGTTTCTGTGAAAATTTCTATGATTTCAAAGAAAAAATTTCCAAGAAAGGTTTTTAAGGATAATTTTAATGAACCTGTTACTGAAATCGTTTCTGAGAAGAATTCTAAGGCGTTTAAGGACCAAAGAATATTTCTACGACTATCTCTATTGTCTTTCAACTCAGTTTCTGAGAATTAGCTCTAAAAGAGTACTGCTAATATTGTTGGAAACTTCCTGAGACGTCTGGAAATTCTACAAATGATTTCTAAGAAAATTCCTCCTCTCTCGAAGGACGAGAAAGAATTGTCTCCTAGGATTTAAATTTCTAAGAGCGCATTTAAGAACTCATCCAGAAAGCCTCGTGAAATTATCTACAATAATTTCTAGATTCACCTGATTTTTTTAAAACTTCATTTAAGATTTTTAGAAGACTTTCAATTGTGCCTTCCATGACTTCTCGCTAGCGTTTAAATTTTCAAAAGAATTTAGCGCGCCATATTCTGTGAGACTTGGGAGGTTTTATTTGTCTGATCATCACCAACTTGGTGTAGTATTGGTATATAGTTGTATACTCAGGTTCATGGCAAATAAGGTGCCAATTTTTGCTAAGGTGTGGAGCGATAGTAAATTCGGAGAGATCGGAAAAATGAATTTGTTTTTGAACCGTCGAAAAGAGCTCATTGCGGGTAACTAAAGAGTAATATGGTTTGGGGCGGTGTAAAGCTGAATTATTATTTGGTTATTAAAATTACCTAGTGCTAAGCCGTCCACCAGCCCAAATTCGACGAGCGGTAAATAACCGAATTGAAAAACCAAGTGAATTATCGTGAATGCTCAGTGACCTTATTCAGAAGAAAAAACAAATTTTAACAGTACGAACGGACTTTTCCGGCGCATAAATCAAAGTTTAGAGTCACGTTTCGATTAATAAGTTCCCAATTTTGGAGTGTAATATTAACCTCGTTTGGTCTTTTCGGTGCGCTAATAATGCCTTATATTATAAGAAAAGAAAATCAAGTTGAATGCATACAGTGTAAATAGAAAGTTCATTGCTCGGTCATTTCCACACGACCAAGGAGTTGTAAAGTAATATCCAGAAAATGTCATCAATAATTCTTTAAGAAATCAAATTTTCGTTTCTATATAGTCCAGCTTTGTGCCACCACCTTTTGGGAAAGGACCGGATCGTTTTATATCATAGGGAAACCATGGATTCTAAGAAAGGCTATAATTAAGTAATGTAATTTTTTTGATTTGTATAAAAAATAACGATCGGTCTTTAAGAAATTGCGTTAAATTTTAGTAAATGTAATAAAAAAATTCTTAAAGGAATCGATCTGTGTAAATTGACTACATGGAACACATTTGCATTGTATTTAATAACTACAATGAATCTCTTCAAGGAATTTTGGTATCCATTTTTTGGAAATCAGTTTCAAAAAATACTATGAACCATTCTGATAACATTTTCAAATGATTTAGGAAAACGGTTCGAAGGACTTTACTAAGAAAAATATTCCCAAGAGATACGGTTTCAGGGTTTCTAGCAAATCTCTTCTAAGAAAGCTTTGAAATAATATTGCCTGATTAGATTTCCACGTTTCGTAAGATTTCGAAAGCGCGTTTCTTTCGAAGAAGAAATTTGGTTTACTTATGGGTCGTTTTAAATGTTTCGAAAAAAAGTCCTTAGCATTTCAAACTTTCCCAATTTCAAAAAAGGAAGTATTTATTGTTATCTTAGACACTTCTTGAAAATTTCACGGGCCTAGCTGTTGCGGGGGGTCAGTGCTGTTATTTAGATATAAATTTAGAGCAATCAGTGACTACTTGAAAAATTGTCGTTATCATTAATCGCCGGTATTCTGTTCGCGTCATCTGCCCAGCTGTTTTGTACGTGAACGGAGAGTTTACCTGACTGTGCGAATAATTGAGATCATCTTCAAGGCCAAATCCACACAAGCTTCGGCGTGGTTCGGTGCTGGGTTCGGTGGTAAGCCAGCCACGCCGTAGTAACAATCTCCCAGAAACTTAATCCGCAACACATTTAATTGCTAAAAATTACCATTACTAACGCACTACTTTAGTTCTGATCAAACACCTCAGAGGCATCATCAAATCCAGTGAAGAGCTCGTTCAAAACATCAACCAGCTTGATTACAGGTAACTTGGTTGTCATGGCAGTATAATTAACAATGTCTGCGTATAAAATGGTTACGTTGTCGTATTCTTGCACGTACGGTATTCTGAAAAACCTAGAGGTAATGACACCTTGGAACCCGACCTAGTATGACTTACTCCATCGGATCACTGCGCGGAATATTCTCCATCCGTTCCACGATTTCAATTTTGCGCAAAATATCCTTGCGTACCTTATCTATTGTATGCTTTGGAATTATGCTCAACATCAGGTGCTCCTGTAAGGATTGCTGGGATTAGCTCTAACCCACAGACAACATACGCACCTCTTGTTCCTTGTCGAATGTTAGTTTCAAGGTAGCTTCCACGCAAGCTCTGTGATCCAAAAAGGCTCTTCGCTTGTTCAACTCGCTCGCCCAGCGGTAGTAAAGCCCAATCACATTTATGGACAGCAAAAATATGCAGTCTGATCCAAGCTGGAAGAGAAAGTCGCTGACAAGTGCCCATTACCACGCAGAGGCTTACTCTCTGCCAGAAGTAGGTGTAATCGCTATACGTTACGAAGGCCAGAGTCAGCAAGTGGGTAAGCGTCACAACCAATCCAAGCGTGCATACCAGCAAATCACTGGCAATACCCAGGAAACAGAATATCACAATAAGTATATGGGTGACGTAGGCCGGTCGCAGATGTGGATCATTCCTGTATACACCATATACCGGCACAGACCAATCGGAGATGTACACAAGAATTAACATAAGAAATCCGACGTATCTTACAATGTAAAATTTATGCTTCAAATATCGCTCGTTCATCATCAGAATTCCTACGGACAAACATCCCGTGATACCGTAAAGTATTAAATCGGGAAGAACGGATTCGGTGGTTTGCGAGACCTTAAAAACAATTCCCGATTATACCCAAACTGTATCATCGACGTACTTACCAGGTTTACACCGAAAACAATTGAGAAATGGGTCACGCTGAATAAAAATTGCAGTATTAGAAATACTGAGAAGTATCCTTGATTTATTCTCTCAGTGTAGCGCTCGAATAATTCGTCCAAGCCTTTGAAGTTGAATTGTTCCTGAAAAATAGAGGAAATTAGGGATTTTGGAACCTTTTTGGCCGCTAGTTTTGGTTTGGTGACCAAGTAGTCTTGACTCTAACTCTAATGGTTCAAGAAAAGGTTTCATTTCGTTCCAGATAAATTGTAAATGTTGCAAACAATGCAAGCGTTTAAAGTAAATAGATCTAAATTTGTTTATATGAGATATAGAAATAATAGCGATCACAAACGTCATTTTTATTATCTTTCCCATGAAAAGTGTTTTTTTGGCACATCCCAATCACCAGGTAAATTGTGTGAGTCACATGTTTTTGATCCTCTTTCCTACTAGGTATCATTGTTCCTCACACACTCTGCCAATACAATGGAGAATATGCTATGAATAGGCTCTCTCTCTTCCTTTCTTTCTTTCTCTCTTTCTTTCTTTCTCTACCTTCTCCCTACGGCATTATAATAGAACATGTTGGGTTTGTAGATAACGCATCAACTCTGCTTCGTACATTCCGATAATTGCACTTTTCGGTTGAAAACAAACAGATACGGTAGACAACCTGACTAGACACTTAAAATGTGAGTGTCGTTTTTGAGATAGGTAACTAATGCAATCCGTCCAACGGTACCAGCCAGCTATTAAAGCGAGTTCCACCGTCTCAGGGAAAAAGATCAATGCCGGTTCTATACGGATGCCTTTCGGATCACGGAACGCACCTGCAACCGTCCAGAGACTAGTTTAAGAGACCCCTGGTCACGAACTTATAAATTAAGATGGACTGCTGATCAAACAGATGCATAGAGATAGAAATGGCCCTAGCATGGGCGCCGCCATGATGTGCACATTTTAGTTATTTTCTAGGGGAATTTTCCTAGTGCTCAAGTTTTGAGACTATTGCAGCCTTGGAAAATGACATGTGTCACAGTAATTTATTTAGAAAACGTGAGGTTAATGTTGGGTTAATGCTTGTTTATTAGTTGATTTGAATTTCGCGCCAAGTGAGTGCACATCATGGCGACCCCCATGTAGGTGTCATTTGTTAATTCAGCATTAGCAGTCCATCTTAATTTATAAGTTCGTGCCCCTGGTTCAGCACCTACTCGCTTATTTGGACGGTCTAATATACTGTTATCGCCAACGCTTGAAGAACACATCAGGACCGTAGAGATCCTCCTCAAAGCTCTCCAGGAGTTTGGATTTTGTGCCAATCGAACCAAATGCCACTTCTGCTGCAAGGAAGTTACATAGGTAGGTACCTGTGTCATGTTATATCGGAGAAAGAAATACGCCCGAACCCAGAAAAGGGGACCGCCACACAAAATACGCCGGAAGTCCTCACCTTTCTCCAAACCAGTTCATTCGTGGTATCGGAGATTCATAAAAGTCCTTGCAGCTCTAGCTAGGCCCCTCAACAAGGTAACTAAGAAAACGCTGCCTGGTGGTGGACGTCCGAACAACAGTTCTTCAAGACTTTAAACGATAAAGCGCATTTTTTAAACCGAAATATCTTAGTAAATGGTTGGGTTATAAGGTAGTAGCAAGCTATATTTATTTGACCAATCCCCAGTAAATATGTTTCGTGCTGACGTTCCACTTCCCCTTTATGAGTACCCTCGTCCGACACTTCGTTTTGAAGATATTCGCTCTTAAAGTTTTCTTCTAGACGGCCCAATCGTCCTTTGTGAGTACCCTCCTTCGACAATCTGTTATTGAGATATCCGATTGCGATAAGGGGAAGAGGAGAAGGACTATGGTCGGTAGAAATGAATTACTTTGGTTGAGCCTTGCCATTAGAGTACCGTGAAGGATAAAACCAGCCCCCTCCCCCTCTTTTAATAAGAGGTCAGAAGGAAGGGCGGTAGTTCTACTACCCCCCTTACCCGGGCATTCCCTGATCTCAAAAACGAGTCACTCTGGAAAGTTATAGTTTGTACAAGCGAATTCCGTTCGATGAGCCTCTCATCACAATACCAGGAAGGGTTGAATGTGTGTTAATCCCCCCGTCCCCCGTCTCCCATTTTCAAAAGTTTTACTTGGCACCATTACAGCCACACGCGTGCAGAATTTGAAACCAATTGGTTGTCGCATGTAAAGTGCCTTACTTTTAAAACCGCATCTCGGGAAATAATTCATGCCCCCTAAAACAACGAAATTTGATGGCACACACCTTCAAGGTGTAAGCTACCTATTGCAAAAATTCCACTCTAGTTGCCATTCCCCTAAAAGTGGTTTAACACAATAGAGGTGGGTCTGGACGGACGAACGGCCAGACCGACAGAACGCAAACAATACCACATTTTTTTAATAAAAAATATTGGATGTTTTTCGTCACCAGCCGCTCGTGGTTATCTGGTGTGAGATGGATGTCTGCACCGGTACACTAACGACGGAGATGACGATATCACCTAACTACAGTGATTAGTGATACCTGAGCGTGAATGAACTCAAATCCTTCAGGAATATTATGAATTATGATCAACCCGGACACTATGGGATATAGAACCCGTATCAGAAGATCCCTATTACTTTTGGCCCTGGATGTACAAAGATGTGGGTGATGCAACAACGATTTAAGGTAATCACCATAGGTCTCTTTGGTCCTCTGCCAGAGATAGACGAAAGACCCTAAAAATCAAAAATCACTCGTAAAAGAAGCGGAGTTATTAGTTAATTATTATTTATCACTTAGGTACTTGTATTCGGACTTAAATGTATAACTAATTCATAACACGAGCGCGGATTTCACTATTTATTACTTCGGCATCGATGTTAAGTTCTAAACTATACCTCATTTCGCTTATATAGCAAACAATAAACCTTCCCGAAAGGTCTGAAAGGCATATCATATTTCACAGAAATAATGAGTCATATCCGCTTTCATTCCTTATTGTCATGCACTTAGTAATCCTTCATCTATTGAATGGCGAATTGATGCTGCCTTAATGTCGCTCTAGAAAACTTCCTACAGTATACTGTAAAGTACAAATAATTTATTATTTATGTAACTATAATGCCATAATGTCCATGTTCCCGCTTAGCTGGAAAATGCAGTGCGATAGCGCGAAGGTAATTTCGATGCGAAATACGGGAAAAATTAGTGCCTACGATACGCATTGATCTAGAAAAATCGTGAAATATTCGTAGTGCGAGTATTGCGAAGTTAAAATTTACCGACGCCCCATTCCGAGAGAAAAAAAACAATTTTGATCACGTGAATTTAAAGTGTGCGTTGCGTCCATGCTTCGATTTTAAATAAAGTGAACTTATGGTACGCTTTCTAAACCATTATTTCCAAACTTTTATTAATATGGCTCATACTGGCAAATACTGAGGGGACCGATTTGATTTACATTTCCATTCTAATTGTCAATACTAGTTTGTTCGTTCCAACTCCTACAAATAGAAAAATATCACAAAGTCAGCTTTCGGTCGAACTGTCCAGCTATTTTTGTATGGTGAGCCTTTGAGGACTCAAAGACATCAAAAACAACAGAAATCTTATAGAAGCGACAGATCAGAATGCATATATAAAAACTCCTTGAAAGTCCCTAAAAAGTTCAAAAAGGCTTTTGAAAAACTCAATAAGGCTGGAAATCTTGATTCCTTTGAAAAAATTCCATGTTTCTTAAAGAACTAAAGGTCCTTCTTACAGATTATTACAGCTCTCATCTTAAAGACATAACACCTGTTAAACGCTAAGAATTTATAAGTAATAGCAAAGTTATTAAGTATTCTTTGGTGAGTTGTAATCTAGAAGGTTCTGGAAGACGGGTTCTTTTTCTCTGACATTATTCTCTTATATGGGCTGATGAAACCTCTTAATAGCAAGGACCTAAAAACTGTTAAAGGCTCTTAAACACTAAAAGTGCAAGATATTGTGACGCTCTAATGGATGTAATGTGATTCACATAAACTTTCGTCGCAATTCTGAAGCCGTTGGTTTTGCGCCCTTTAAACATTATTGATAATTTCTGTTTGGCTATACGATATACATACAAGTTATCGAAAATTTGGATTACCATTCAAAGGAGATTCATCCTACCAGTTCCATAAGATCGTTGCGAATTTCAGTCAATTGAAGTAGTCGATCGATAGGTATCTGATGAGCTTGAAGGAATTAATCGCGACTTTGAAGTTATCATCGTGTAAAGGTTTTCTATGTATTCAAGAAGGTGAAAGACCGATTATTGGGAACTTATTTTCATTGGAGTTTTCAATTGTCAATGAACGTAGAAAAAATCGGCCATTTACCTTAAACCTAGGAAAAAGTAAGAAAGGAATGAAAATTGTGCAGGGTTGTATTCGGTGGAGTGTGGACCTACCTTGAGGACGATAACCTTCTAATGATTTATTTTAGTTGTTTGAAGCCCGTGAAAGCTGTAAATTAGTCTTGCATTTATTTACTTATTTATTTATTATCCCTCCCTTGTATACCTCATTTCATACCCTTTTTTGTTTCCATGTGGGTTAATGGATAATGCAAGGTAAGCAATGTGCAGGTTTTAGATCCCTTACGTGGAAATTTAAATTCCCTTTTGAAAAAAAATGTCACTTCTCATTATACTTAGATTGTGTAAGAGAGGGAAGCATAAATATCTAGTAGGTAGTAGATTTAGAACTGAACAAATAAATCTTCATAGAAACTTTGTGAGTGCATTGAATAAGAATAGTGATTTTATTCAATGGCATATCGGCAATTATCACGCAAGTACGTTACTCAATTTTCGCAAATGTGAATGACGCTAAAAACCTCAAGGAAATTCAGGAGCACGAACGACAGCATAATAGATAAACGGACAGGGATTTTAAGAATTTGCAAAGGTCGCACAGGAATGAGTTGACAATAACACAGGATCACATACTATGCGATCAAAAATTGCTGTCGAGTTACCTTTGGAATTTTTGTTTTTGAAATCAAATAACAAGTGAACCAGACTGGGGGTCTGATACTTTGGCCTAATAGTCCAGGAAATAGAGACTCAAAATGGACCATTTCCTGCAAAACGAGAAGTAGTTCCAATTTTTTTTGCATGTCATGAAAGAATATCTGGTGATTAAGAATCCAAGTTTTCGACCTCCCACCCCCTGTGCTTCCCCCGTACCACCCTTAAAACCAAAGAAATTTGGTTGGTTTTTTAGTTTTTCAATCATATATTTTTATAGATTCATTTTACAAAAAAATATTGTTATCAGAAATTGTAGACTATAAAATTCTACACAACTTTCATATACACTACTTTTTTGTGAAATGTTTATTAAAACGGTATAGAGCTTCAGAGTTGCTTATATTTTTAAGAAGTCTGAAATTTCTATGTAGATGTTTTAACCAAATTTTATACTTTATCTCTATAATTAAGAGTTTTATGAGAAAATATCTTGAACTTATCGTGGTATAAATCCCCTACGCTGCACCCTTACCAAAGGGGATGCATAATAATTCAACTTTCAACCCTTGCTAGTGGGGATATTTGAATCACTGTGAAATTGTAGGGCTTTCTAATATACGTTTGAAACAAAAAAATTATCTCACTTCAGTTCAGCTTCATCCTTAAAATCCTTCATCCCCCATCCCCCCATATCCGTGGTAGGAATAGATATTTAAAGAGGAATAGAACACATATGTAATAAGCGTTGTACTCTCTGACTAACTTTACAAGAGCGTTTAAATATCCATTTTTACCGCGCGGGGGGGGGGTGAAACTGAACTGAAGTGAGACAAGTTTTTAATTTCAAAAGTATATTAGAAAGCGCTACAATCTCACAGTGATTCAAATACCCCATTAGCAAGGGTTGAAAGTTGAATTATTATGCATCCCCTTTGGCAAGGGTGCAGGGTAGGAGGGTTTATACCACGATAAGTTCAAGATATTTTCTCATAAAACTCTTAATTATAGAGATAAAGTATAAAATTTGGTTAAAACATCTACATAGAAATTTCAGAATTCTTCAAAATATAACCAACTCTCAAGCTCTATATCTTTTTTAATAAACATTTCACACAAAAGTAGTGTATATCAAAGTTCTCTAGAATTTTATGGTCTACAATTTCTGATAACAATATTTTTTTCTAAAGTGAACCATTAAAAAGACGTGATTGAAAAACTAAGAAACCAACCAAATTTCAGGGGTTTTGAGGGTGGTACGGGGAAAGCACAAGGGGTGGGAGGTCGAAAACTTAGATTCTTAACCACCAGATGACTGTCTATGACATGCAAAAGAAATTGGAACTACTTCTCATTTTGCAAGTTAAAACCCTCTATTCCCTGAACTATAAAGCGCATTAAGTATTTCAATTGCGTTTGGCATTTGAAATCGATAACGCTGTAAAAGAGAAAAAGGATGTTCCAATTAATTAAAGCTTGGTGTATGGCTTGGTTATCCCCAAACGGAGGAAACTCTGCACGAACCCGCATGAAAATTAAAGTAGATAATGTCTAGAAATCTCTAAGATCTACTGACACACTTCCGCAAGGACAGGAAATTAGAGCTGCCCCACTTACCCTTAAGTAAGATAATCGATACGATTTCTCTGGCTCGAGCTCTTGAAGATCGTACAAAGTGTCACGGCTAATCCGTTTAATTTTATGCACACTATCTCTCGCCTCCTCCAAACCGTCCAAATCGGCGAAACTCTCCCAGGAGTGCCTTGACGTCTCTGGCATTCTGGATTATCGGTTTGCCGCATTACATTAACGAAGCACTATGGTATACTACACGCGAACGGATGGAATTCGGCATACTCACTAACTTGTGACGCACTGAGACTAACATGATTCCTTACACTTATGTACTTTTATTAAACTTACAATGTACAGATAACACTATCTGCCGTTATCAGTTTTTCAGTGAATTGATTTTATGGTAATGAAGCTTTTATCTCCGTGTCTAATTAACGGTAGGTACATATTTCTTAAGGTGCCGTAATCAAAAATGGTATTAGTATTTACTGTTTTATAGGATTCTTCCCAAGCAGCCATTGAACCTAGTCTGATCTTGTTAATCCTTTACGTATTCGTATCTGTTTTTAAGAAAATATTCGTTGACTATGTCAATTGTTTGTGAAAGTCAAAAAGAATCTCCAGAATAGGTAATCCATTAATTTTACTAGCAGCACACCCTGCAGTAGATGGCGTACCCAGATGTCTTACTTTATAGTATACCACCATGGCATACCTTTTCGCGCCACCCTTGAACCATCTGAATGATCTCAAAAACGCTGAGTGGAACAGTTTAGTGCCAAAAAGGATAGAGTGGGACGCAGCGTGGTTCCCTAAAAGCTCATATGGCTCCAAAAATATTAGGGAGGCATCGTGCAGAGCAGAGTGGTGCGTAGAATAATGGGATGATTTCTGAGCGTCTAATCGGTACTCTTCTTGGCGCACATAGTGCTAGAAAATCCTCTAGGACGCCACTGTGCTCAAATATACTTCCTAGATGATACACTAAATTTCGACTTAAAACACGAGTACGAAATTTTGATTTTAAACATTAACTTTATAATGTTAGAATGGGTTTTTCTGATGGCGTAGCGTTAAGAAGAACAGGGTGAAGCCTATGTTATCTATTAGTAAGGGAAACCGGACTACGTCAGTACCAAAAACCCTTCTTTCCTTCGCAACTAGGTTCAGAACACATTCCTCTCAATAAAAGATATGACCCTATGATTATGACTAGCACTATACTATACTATATACTAGGTTACCTCAGCCTCCTCGCTTCCAGAAAACTGCCGTCAGGGAGCGGATGTCTGTTTCTGATCAAAGCGTCACTGCGACAAACCACGTGCTCCGTACGCCAAAGAATCTTCACGTGGACTCCCCAATAAGCAATAACAACGTTGTACTGGTCTTTCTAACGCGATGATATTTAAATGGAACCCAAACCCCTAAATGTCCCCACTGCAGCGATGTACCAGAAACCATACAACATATAGTTTTGGAATGTGCAGTAACAACATTCTTCGGGCGACTTTGAAGAAATTCATTAATTAACAAGAGAGTCTCTACTTTGACTAACAAATCTAAAGTCAATCTGATATTAATATTGTTTATTTAATTTTTTTGGATACAGATATAAAACCATGCACAGATTCGTAATGTGTGTTCATAAATTTTTGAATTTTTCAAATAACATTAAAATTACAACTATAAGAAAATCGAGACGTGGCGTTTTCGTACAAATGAGTAATATTGAATACGTATAGTAAACAGGTTATTCACATAAAACACTCAAAAATGATACACACAAAAACTAATGGAAATCTAATTATCAAGTAAACTTTAAGTAATCAATATGTGCAGTGTGCAAACAAATTTAAAAATTAGTGCATAATTGATCACATTAAACTATAATGATATACAATTAGTTCTGCAACAAATACCATGAAAGATAGTACTAAACCGACACCCTGCAGTATTAAAAAAATACCGCTAAGGTGCTCCAAAGATATCATAGCCTCTTTCTCTTCATCTTTATAACCAAAGACTCGATTTCTAATTTTGTCTTCATGCCATTTTTGAAACCTGTCTATCCTATCGTATAGTCCACTTTCGGTCAGCCTATCAATGATTACATCCACACTCTCGATAAAGTAACCGGTAGCTGCGGGATTGAATATTTTCATGATTGGGGCAGAAATTTGAGAGTCAATAAAATGATCTGGGGTTGGCATTTCCAAATGCAGTGCAAGTGTGTGCATTGTATTACCGAAAAGTATAAGAGAAAAGTTTTTTTGCATAGACCACTTCCTAAATAATGTAAAGGGATCCATATCGTTATGAGGACATTTCCTTTCGTTTATCATTTCACGTAATTGCTTAATTTCAGGATTGTCTGAACCGATTACCGCCATTAAAACATCTAAACCTTTACAAATAGGAATATTTGCTTTTAGAAGTTCATTTACATTTTGAATATGTTTCCCTTTTGGTGGTGAGATCATCAGGCGCGTTAAGTTCGAAACGTACGCCGTTTGAATATGTATGCTATATATAATGTAACACATTACCATGAATCGCAACATTGAAGCCTTGGGCATGCGGTTCGTACTACTAAAAAGCGTCAGTGATGTTGTATCTAAGCAAATTCCGCATAGACTGATTTTACATCGATTAAGACAATACCAAACTACAGTGAACAATACAAAAACCACAATAGCTAATATCCAAAGTTCCTTGTCAAATGTGATCATCAAAACCCTCAGACTTGAGGCTCCATCTACCGGCGGTACAATCCAAACTAAGTGGTCCCATTCATATACTTGACTCGTGCGTTCGGGTAGCATACTAATGAGATACGAATCGCTAAAGACAATGTGTGCTACATTAAGCTCATCGCCTTCTACGTCTTCAAAAGTCTTCACAGAGACGTTCAACACTTTTCCCAGGATCCAAAAAGTATAACCCCTTCGATCAAATCTGCTCAGCGGCCTTTCAGTACAAACCGTTGCGACACATCCATTATAATTTCTGACAATTTTAGGGATGGTATTCGTGACTGAATTATCGCAAGTCTGATATTGAATTACATTCGGCGTTACTCCACAATGGTTTAGCTGGACATTCGGATTCGCCGTAAATAGTAGTGGTTTATTCTTTCCGCTCTTGTCAATCACCAACAATGCGAAGTAAATAATCTCGTACTCCCCCCAGAGTAGACTAAAGATCTTTTTCACAAGTGAAATTTTGTCGGTTACCAACAGAAATCTTGAACCGGGCGAATAATATCTATCCCAGAAAATACCTTCGTGCAAATAACGCATAATTTTTTCGAAATTCCTGAAACTTTCTATTTCAATTATGTAATTGTAGTAAATTATTCTTTTTCCACCGTCTAAGGCATGTTCCGCGTTGATAATGGTCTTCGGATTTTTTATATGATATGGTAAAAGATCATTTTGTCTACCGTAGTAAACGTAGTAAAGGTGTTCTTCCCCAAAAATTGTTTGAATAGCATTTTTGGTACATACCTGCCATGGGATTTCATCGGTTTCCCTTTGTAAGTTATTTGCGGAACGCAAAATACTCACAAGAAGAACAGAAGATACTATCGCTCCTTTCATTGCTGTAACTTGCAACTACGTTGTTGTCCAACGTATTCAACATTTATGGCCTGTTGTTAAAGCTACGTGTCGCTACAAACAAATATTATAGATTTCACACTACAGAAAAATACTCCCTAGTAATTTTCTTGTCTTGGATCGAGGTATCGGAAAATAACATGGTATTAAAATATAGTTCTCGTCATAAAAGTACGTCAGTAATTCAAGCTATATTTTCTATATTTTAAGGGCATTTTTTATGAATTAAAAAAATGTGCTATTGTTTGCGTTTTGTCCGTCCTACTTTTAGGGGAATCGGAATGGTCCTAAAGTCCTGGAATATTTTGCAATATGTAGCCTGTACCTTGAAGGTGTGCCAGACGGCCATCAAATTTCACTGTCTCCCACTCTCTCATTCATTATTTCCTGAGATGCTGTTTTTCAATGTGAAACTTGCGTAATTTTTACATGCCACAGCCAACTGGTCTCAGAATTTTTTTGCGGTGCCAAGTAAAAGTAGAAACGTGCACAATTCCAGAAGGATCCCGTTCCATTCGTAATTGGGTCATATATTTGTTTTACAAAATGTAATTTGTTAGTATTTTCCGGTTAATATTATAGATTATAGCGGAAACGCAAGCAATAAATTATCTGAGTGTGGACTTTTTCTTTTCCACTACGCTCCTTCCGAGACCCACGACCAATCGAATCAGAGATAGAAGAGGAGGTCCACTTTACTGTTAATCTGGACTGGTTTTTCAAACTTTCTAAGCTGAACTTTAGTCAGTAAGTAAAACTGCAAAATGCCCCATTTACCCTATCTTCAATAATAACAAAAGTTGCCCATGCAATAACACTCAATCTGGAAATCTGGGACAGCCTGTATAAGTTATAAGTTTCCTCCCATTCGAGAGTAAGCCCAAACCACACCATTTCAAAACTTCAAAAATTGAAAATTGGTTAATCAATACATTTTTTTGAAAAAATCTTACAGTGAATATAATTTTTGCAAGGAATTTTAACCAAAACTGAAAAATTCCACGGTCAATGTAGCATACCAATTTTTACGTACCTATCATATTTTCAAAAATAAACTACTTTGCGTTGTGATCGCATCAGGTGGTCATTATTCTTCTACAGCGGGGATATTTCAGGAGCAAATTTTCTCGGGAGAATATTTTTAAGATTTTGTAAGTTTTTTTTCCAATTTCTAGTTTCTGGAATGGTTTATTAAATCTAGGTAGGTACAATACAATAATTAAATTGGCGAAGCTTTACTTCAAAATATAGTCCCATATGTATGTACGTATGTTCTATTCTTTTTCATTATTGACTTTTTGGACGTGGCAAATCAAATCTCCAAGATTAGTTATATCCTATATATCCTACTTATATCTGTTAATTTGTTTAGCTTTAGGGAATCAGGGAATTTAGAGTATTTGCTGAATATTACCGATTCCAACTGTTAGTTGCGGTAATCTCCCTTGATTTGTTAACACTGTCTGATCATAGGATTAAGATTAAATACACAGATAGGGTGTACTTATATTTATCCCTGATCGATATAGGTACTTAGACGTAAATATAAAAGAGCGTCTAGATTTGGAATGTTGCAAGTGGGGGTTTGAATATCAGCAGAACTCGCAGCAGACCGATGTCGAGAATGGGTGTTTTTAATGTAAGTAATTTATTAATATTATTTGAACAGAAAAAAAATGTGTAGACAGTCAATCTCGGATGTTTAATACTGTGGAAAAGTGCGCCGGTACCAAAGATTCTGTATACTTATAATTGTTATTACGTTATTACGTAATAACAATTATATAAGTATACAGCAACACTCAACGTTTTATTAATGCATCCTTATATAATTCTAATAATGGAGCAATTCATCGATAATTCTGCGGTAACGCGCCGGTAAGGTGTCAACTGTTATTTCATAAATGTTGCCTTTTTTGAAACGTGACAAAATATCAAAAATTGACTGCCCAGACGTTGAACTGTTTTGCAAAAATATATCTCAATTCTCGTTTTAGTGTATCCTGATTATAAGTATTCTTAAATCAATATCCCTAAGCTCAGGAGATGTCCTCAAACCTTCTCGAAACCCTTTTAAGATATTCAACGAATACAACGAAAAACCAAAAGCTGACCTGTCCCTGTCAAAATTTGAAGGAAATGCTGCTTTGGAACGTGCCGTACGGAACATGGGCGAAGTGAGTATATAACAGGTTTCCTTTCTCGCCCTGCTAGCGCTAACGTCTTATTTACCTACAGAACATTGTCATATGCGAAGTTAGCATTTCAAAGGAAGAGTTATTCGAGGATGGCTACGAATTTTATCCAAACGAATATGTCAATGAAACCTGTAGGAACACCAACATAGATCCATTCGTGGCCCATACCGGTCAACATTTAAAACCTGTGGTAAGCAAGATGATGATGGTGCATATTGTAAGGGTTGTACGTACTCATTTTAGATATGTCTGCACAACGATAACAAATTTGGGTGTGAAACGCTCTATGAAGAAAAGGTGGTATGGAAGAAAAGCACGAAGGGGAAAAAGGAGTGCGTGGAGCATACATCACAATTGGTCGCGGTCGGATGCAAATGTAATATTCGTTTCGATTACAATTACTTATACCGAATATAACAATATGTCGATATAATTAGGATCGCGTGTACAGGACTTAAAAAATAAATAAATAAAAGTTTGTAGCATTCCACTTTTCGTTTAGTTTAGTTCGTTGTGATTGAAAAGCAATTTAGGTATAGGTGACAAACTATGAATTTAGTTTTATTAACTAAAAAAAAAAAAAAACCAAAACTTAAAAAATCGCTCCAAGCGTTGATTTTGTTTGCTTTAATGTACAGGTGGTTATGCCAATATATTATTTTATTAAGTATTTATTTACGTATTCACGTAGAAGTGCATTATCGGTGTGACGACTAACCGTTTATTTCGTGCGGGAAGTTATTTGCTGTGCTTATTATGTTGCTTCCTCATCTCGTGCTCTTGTGTCTTGGCAATATGAGAAGGGGGACCCTTTAATTAAGTTTGTTAACATTGGTGGAACGTAGAACATCCAACAAATTCCCTTTTGTAGTTGGTTGTTAACCAAACCACAAAAAACATAAACCCGGAAGACACCACCGCAGCGACCCCCCCCCCCCCCCCATTTATGTTACACCAGAAAAAACATAATGGCATCACTAGAAGTCCTGTATATCCCTCATAACCACAAACTTACGATTCGGGCAAAGAGGAAAAGACACTGATGCGCTAGCGCCACCCGTGACACCAAATTCGCCATGCGAAATAGGGACGCGGACTGCCGCTCGTAATTCTGGCAAAGGGGCGTAGGTAGGGATTGCGTCCTTTAATAGTCGCACCCTACGACCAAGATTAATGCTTTGACGTGACGCTTGACTGACGTAAAGGAAGGAAAATCGTCTCTAGAAAATAAGGTATGCAGATACCGGTCTTTTGTAGGAGGTTGGTGAAATATTTTTCCCCCAAATATTCCTCCCAAGCCAAGGCTGCTTTACCAACCCAACCCACTATACATTTACAAATATCCATGCCCAAATTCGAACCAAGGACCCTTAGCACGTACCATAGTTCAGCTTTAACTGAACTGCGCCACACGGGCCGATATGCATCCAATTGCAGAGGTGACTTCCATATCTGCGACTCGCCTAGATAAATTTTATACTAAAATCATCACCTCCGTGGAAAATTCGCCCCAGTCATAATACTCGCAGACAAGGATCTTATCTTCTAAAAACAAATTCACATACAGGACAAAGAGGTTCAACCTCAGAAAAACCATAATACCCAATTTCAGAAGTTCTTTCCATGTCTGTGATCCACAATTTAATTTTTCTCCCGGGAAAATTCGTCCCCGGCGGAATACTCGTTCATCCGGATCTTTCTCTCCAGAATAAAAACTTATGTTCAAGACAACTCGATCCACAAGACTTGCTCTTGAAAAAATGACAGGTATCCAACGTTTGGAGATTCCTTCCATTTCTATGCCTCCTCTACCCCGCCGAAATTTTCTTCCCCGAGGACGCCGCCGATCCCACCGACTCGTTTGCATATACCTACCCAATTCCAGAGGTCTTTTCCATTTCTGTGGCTTTCCTGGTAATTTAGACCTCGAAAAAATTTACCACTAGGTACTGGAATAATCACTCACATTCAACAGGAAAGGAACTGACATGTATCTACTGAACTGTAGAGACACCTTCCATTTCGGTGCCCTCTCTCCAGATAACGTCGCCACCGGAACAAATTCATACTGCCCTATAGAAATTGCCAGAAGTCTATTTTAAAAAAACCGTTTAACGCAACCTGATCCAGAAGAAGCATGCACTTAAAACGATCCCAAAAAGTTCGCTCTTGGTTGCACAAGTTTCCTTCATGAGTGCAGCCTCTACATAATTTTTCCTTCAGAATGCTCGACCCCCCGCCGGAACGTTCATCCGCTATCTTAATCTCCCCAGGAATCATTTATGTTCAGGACAATTCAACCCGTCAGACGACTTGCAGTTAAAGACACTCATTTCTGTGCGCCCCATGTAAATTTGCCTCTGGAATTTTCGTCCCCGGGAACCTCCATGTTTAAGAAAACTCATTCTAGAAAAAACTTCACTTTCCATTGTACCTACACAAAAAAACCGCAGGATCAAAATACCTCCCTACCTAACTAACAAATAAAAGTGAAATGAAGCAGTTCATCCAAAATACCTACACAAATTTGTATTATTTATTCAATCAATATAAGCAATTAGAGTAACAGTTAAGTTTAAACAATGAACAAGAAACTGCATCCATAACATCACAATCAGTTAATATTGACAGTCATAAAGTTGAGAGGTAATGCAAAACTAACAGAGCGCAGTAAAAAAAAACAAAACAACAAAAGTCCATTATAGAAAATTAATCAAATTTTCACTCATCCTTTCCTAGCTATTTTCTGTATAAAAAATATGCTGCAATTTCTTCTAAATAAGTTCCCGTTGCAACAGTTAACATAGAAACTTGCCACATTCTTTTTGGTATATATAAAAACATTTAAATAATTTAGAGATTTAGAGTTCTCTCACGATGACAACAAGTGCTGTAACTTTTGCGTTACAGTCGGACCTAGCGAGCTGACGGCGACGGCAAACTCTTGATTGAAATCTCTGTTCATCGTTTTCAAAAATTCTACAGTTAATTGTTTCGTGTCTAAAATGCAATTGTAATTAAATGGTAGAGCAGTAATTTTATATGTACCGTCGTTGGGCGTCTGTTCGTTAGCGTAAATGTGGGCGACAACTTTGACGACTCCGGCGAGATGCTGCCGTAAAACCGCGTTGCCCTGTTGGTATAATCCGTAAAAACATTTCACCACGGATTCGTTTTCTTGAAAGTCCTCTCTAAGAGGAAGCCTTCCCATGAAGGCGGGAAACACCTAAGGTCAAACTGTCGCAAATGACGCTGAGAAAGTGGTCAAATACCTGATCTAAAGGCACCAAAGAAGGATTGGCAATGATAAGTTTAGCTAAAGCACCGCAAATGTTATCCAAAGTACCCGCGTGCGACTCTTTTGTTACTAGTGTCGATAGTGCTTGTAAAATGTCACCGTAATATCTAACAAAGTTAAGGATAAATTAAAAAATTTACCAATCTGTGCCTGATTATTTTGTAAAACATTATTGCCTAAGAACTCATTAGCAAGGATTTAGGTTTTTAAAATCTAATTTCCACGAGTGAGAATTTCGCTGTAAATGGGTTCAAATTTATTAGTCGTAAGGTGTAACTTATTGTTTTGAAACTTTGAAAGTCAAACGTATTTTTAATTTCTCATGGTTATTCAAAAAGGGGTACTGTACTTATGCCACAATTTAGAATTTCTTTGATCACAATTCAAAGTAAAAATCAGGTCAAAAATAAGAAAGTTAGCACTGTGTATGGACAACTTATTCTTTGGCAGGTTATTTCAATTTAATTTTATAATATATAAGCATAATTATGGTACATAGAAAAAATTCCTCCATTGGTGTACGCCTCGACACCATAACGAACCAAGTAGCGAAAAAAGGAGAACAATAATACTGTAAGTAATTTTTAGATTTTTTATTTTATTTGTCGACCGCGTGCGTGCGAGGTAATATGTCCAAACAAGTTTTGTAAGCTTTTCTATCTATCAGGGATTTTGTTTTAATCTTTCGGAATAAATGTTTGTCATTGTCAATTTATTGTGTTTATTCGAATCCAAATTGCGACCCAGGTAGTGTTTTTATGTCAGATTTTTTTTATTCGTAGCCAAGATTTATTTCAAAAAGGATACGGAAATACACAATCTCTTCCATGAAGCACCATCTCACCAAGTCCATATATAGAATTATTCCTAACTTCGTCACTACTATCCTTCCCACCAGCAAACCATAACTTCAACAGCTGATCTAGATATTTCTCAATGTAGCGGCCAAGGGGTTCCATACATTCAGCCAATGTACCATATGAAAAAGACCTTTGGCTTTCGCTGTTACGTTTTTTCTAAAAAAAAAAGGTATAACCGACTATAGCTGTGCCAGTAGCGGCATACGGTTCGACTTCCAACTAGCGTCAATATATTTGGGAAATACAACATAAAATCGTCCGGTTTAATTGCTCTTCCGAATTTAGGTATAACATCGCCCGCATATTCCAGGAGAAGTTCGTCTTGTTCGGCTTCAGTCTCTTCCTCTCCTCCATCGCCAGTTTCAACATCGGCGTCTTGGCAAGCCGTCTAAAATAACAACATTATTCGAGGCGTTGTGTAAGTTGCGTACCTTTAAGTTGAGAACATCGATGACGCAATTCATAATCGCCTCACGATGCCCATCACCGGTCAAAACCACGCCCTTCAGTTCCGCCAACAAATTGGCGTAGGCGTCCAGTGCGCACATCACCACTTGTCTCTCTTCATCAAAGCGTATTATTTCGGCACACTTCGGAATAAACATCTGCAGGGCTTGGTGCAGCCCTTGCTTGCCTTCGTCCGTATTCACCTTGTTGAGCATAATGCAAAATTCTTGCAAAGTGTCCACGGCTGCCTTGCGCATGTCATCTTGGGGAAAATTGAGCAACTTAAACACCTCCTGAAAGCTTTTGTCTAGGAAAGGCAGAAAAGGGGCCCCAACATTAACACACAACTCCTTCAAAGTTCTACACGCCTGCTCTTTTTCATCGACGTACGAATTTTCGACCATAAATTTGCATTGCTCGCTATCGTCAGTGGTCGACGATAAGATCTCTATGTCCTCCTCGAGGTCATTGTCAGATTCGGTGTCGTCGTACAAATCGACTCCATCTTTCTCTTCGTCATTGTACAAAGTCTGCAAGACCAAAATCGAAACTGGCCTACCCGCTCGGAACTCACCTCGATACCCTCACTGCTTTGGATTGTCCCAATCATTTGCTCGACGACATTCGGAAGCACAGGACTCAATTCCTCCTTAAGCACTACCGCAAGCGCCCCAACCAACGCATACGCCGCTCTACGATTATCAGGATCGGCACTGTTATCCAGAATTCGCAACCCCAACTGCAAGGTTTCCTGCGCTAACGGTCGGAAATTATCATTCCCAATATTCTGCGCGATGGCCGCCAGGCAATCTAAATCAATTACGACTCATAAGGGATACTCTCCGATATGATTGTTACCTAGCGCGTCGCAGAGAACGTGAAAATTCTCGGTGGTCGGATCCGCGTTCACGTAAACGTTAATGATTTCCAAGACGCGCGGGAAATACGGCAGCATACCCTCCTTGACGGCGCACGCGGCCGAGCTGACCGCGTCGAAGCCCATCTTTTTCAACTGCATCGAGCTGTGGTTCGGATCCAAGGCCGTGAAAAGTCGATCCATTAGGGTCGGCATGTACGGCTCGAGACCTTGGTCGAGGTTTTCGCAGAACGTTTCCAGGGCGTAGAAGATGCGATCGAGGCTGGAGGGGAGGGCGGATTCGGATTGGAGCAGTTTGTATATATCGGAGAGGTGCTCGAAGAGAACCGGAAGCAGTTCGGATGCGTATTGGCTTATTTCCGGCTAGAATTTTCAGAATGGCGATTGTAGCTTTCGAAACGGTTCGAGTACATTTCAGTAAAATTATTCATTTTTTTGTAAAGGTATGCAAAAGTAAAAAAATGGACGTGCATTTTTCATAAAAAGATTTGGTTATTTTTGGAATCCACGTGGCCAAACGTATAAGATGACATCCAAAAAGCGACGATTTTTTGGCAATTTTTTTTCGGTTTTTTCGTGGCAAGGACATTTTATCGATCTCGATTTTTTTCGTATAACTTTTTAAGTAGGCTCCGAATTTCAGCGAAACCTTTTGCAACGTGTTGTTTGTAAAAAATTGCAACCCTCGATCTACTCGGAAATTTTTTTGAATTTAAATGGTGTATTTTAGGGAATACCTATCACCTATAGGCGAGTAGCGAAAATTGCACTCCAGCGCCTCCACACAACGACTATGACATTTCGTGAGGTGAAACAAATTTTTGATCGCATTGTAAATAAAAATTATAATAATAATAATAATAATATTTAATTGCGTTCTCTGACATAATTATACATGTATGGAACTGTCAATAATGGAATATGAGGTATGAAGCCTTGAGACAAACAGTTAACTACTACAATTAAAATTTACAAATCACAGATTACAAATTAAAAGTGTCGTTATGCTTAATTTCTAATATCACATTAAATTTGAGAATATATGTTGTCATGGGTACTCAGGTATTCATCTATAGAGTAGAAGCATTGTTTCTTTAAGTAATATTTGACATCGCATTTAAAATGTTTCAGATTTGTTATTGATTTTAAATGTTTAGGCAAGTTGTTGTACAGTTTAATGCATGTGATGAACGGACTTCTCCCCATTTGCGTAGTTCTATGTGAAGGTATAAACAAGTTGTTGGCTGATCTTGTTGGGTAATTGCAGATTTCCCCGCACCTATTAAAGTTGTGTATGTTTTTCTTAACATATGTAACACATTCCAGAATGTAAATGCAACAGAGGGTCATTATGCTATATTGTTTAAAATATGGCCTGCACGAAGACCGATGAGGTAAGTTTAACATATTTCTCAGAATGCGTTTTTGATGAATGAATATTTTTGTTACATCACGTGCGTTTCCCCAGCATACTATTCCGTACGTGAAAAGGGAATGTATACAACCATAATAAAAACAGATTAAGGTTTCAAAATGGACTATATTTTTTAGCTGAGTAATACAGTAATTTCTAGATGCCAGTCGCTTTGATAATTCACAAATGTGAGTGCTCCAAGATAAGTTTTCGTCGATATAAACACCAAGGAATTTAACTTTTTAGCTGAGTAATACAGTAATTTCTAGATGCCAGTCGCTTTGATAATTCACAAATGTGAGTGCTCCAAGATAAGTTTTCGTCGATATAAACACCAAGGAATTTAACTTTTTGGGTTTGTTGTAGTGACTTCTTATTCATTTTAACTAATATATTAAAATCATTTTTTATATTGGTTGGTGAAAAGAAGACCATTTCAGTTTTTTTTTAATTTAGTACCAAACCATTTTTCTCACACCAGGACTGCATCTCGTGGGTGCAGTTGCTCGCGTTCGTGCAGAGACCTTCAATTGTTTTATGGGTTATGACCGTGGATGCATCATCCGCAAAGAGTAATATAAACCATTTATTAACGTACGCGGGTAAGTCATTTACAAATATAGTGAACAAGGAGGGACCCAGGACACTACCTTGGGGAACGCCGAAGGTTACAGGTGCGCTCGTAGAGCAATGTATTCCATAAGCGTCTCTAAGACTGACAGATTGAGTTCTGTTGGATAGATAAGATTTAAGCCAGTTCAATGCTAGTCCCCTAACTCCGTATCGGTTTAGTTTTTCTAAGAGTAGGTTGTGGTTTATTACATCAAATGCTTTGCTGAAGTCGTAAAAGACTCCACAAGCTTTTATATTTTTATCGAAACTAGTAATTCGGCCTTAATGAGTGGTTTGTAGCAGTCCGTACGGTTTAAGAGATTAGAGTATAGTTTTTCACGTTTGATTTGCATCTGATTTACTCGTAGAAATTAAGGTTGGGTCAGTTGCGTGTTACATTACAGTGTAGTTACAGCCGGCTGTCTTGCAGGAATTTTAAAAATTCAGGCTTCTTTTCTTGTTGCATTATTGTTTAATTATATTAAATTTCGTTCCTAAATAGAGACTTACATAAATATTATATGAAACAGTAAAAATAATGAAATGTGCAAATTAGTTCGTAAACACGATTTCTGACAAGAATTGTCTCCAGAAACACCATTTTTAATATATTCTTTGGTGGGCAAAAAGTAGAAAATATCAGGAAACCATCTACACAACAAGTCGGGAGCAAGGGGCCGTTTTACAGGTCATTTAACGCGGGGATCCCTTTTAATAGCTTGATCATAACATCAAATTGGATTATTGCACACAAAATTACAAAAAACGGCCGTTCTGGAGACGAAACTATGTAAAATAATAGCAAAACAGATGTGTACTTACACTCTTCTCACTTTCTTTATCCAATTTTCTCTTGTTTGCAACTCATATGGTCTGTTGGGAAAGCTGTAGATTTTACAGAAAAGTCCGTATTTATGTACTGCATCCAACAACACAACAAGAAACTCTAGATGAACGAAAAGTGTTTTTCGAAGTCATAATTGTTGTTTTATTTGGAGTAAGCTTGTAAATATTAATATAGTAATAAACGGTCGATTAACTTGTTTCACCACATCTTATGTTAAATTCGCCACCAGACGGCGCCACATCCGAATATGCTACTCGCCTATACGCACTTCTGAGCGCAGAAGGTGGATCATGGCTACTTTTGAGAAGAATATGTGCTAAGTAACTTACCTCATGGTACAATAAAATTGTATTATTTTAATCTTCCCACTTACCTGTAAATGTTCAGCAAACTGCCCTAACGCAAACAGAGCTGCATTACGGACAAAGAGATGGGGACTGGTAATTCCGCCGCAAACGCATTTAAGCAGGGGTTCCAAATATTTTTTGCGTATATACTCCGAGCAGCCTTCGGCCAATACCGCCAGAGCCAAGTAGGCCGCCTTTTGTGCGTACATATCGTTACCTTGTACCGCGGGCTCAATTCTGCTCAAAAACGCCGGAATCACTTTCTCGGGAGGCACGTGCAAGGCCACCATGTCTAATGTTTGCGTCGCAATGGTGGTGGGCGTGTATTCATCCGGATCGCCTTGGTAGTAATCTTCGGCGTCGGGTTCGGTGTCCTCCAAGTTTGGTTTTAACGACATCACTTTGATCATCGCGTCAATTATCGGTTCAATTAAATGTTCCTTTTGCATTGCCTGTAACAACGTTCAGTACACACACTTCAGTTGGTTCGCTGTAGGTACTCACTTTGCTTTTAGACCGTATTAACCAGCCAAGTACACCGATCGCTTTAATCTTTACTTCGTCGCACACTTCCTTATTGCCACCAATTGATAAACAGAGTTCTACTACCAGTCGGATATGTGGAACAATAACACTGATTGAATACTCGGTCAATTCCTCTAAGAGCTCCAACATTTCGCATTCTTTCTTGGGGTTATTATCTAATGCGTACGCGCTTAGAACCTCCAGAATGCGGGGAAGCAGATTGTAGTATAAGGTGATCATCTTAACATATTAAGTTGAGATTAGACGAATGTTCAAACATGGTGGTGGAATATAAAATTAGATGAAAATAAGTGGGTCGAACTTCCTTGGCTCTAACAACAAGGCTTGTCGACTATTTTATACCGAACTGAAATTTTCACAACACAAATTTAAAAAAATGGAAAAAAAGGTGAGTACCTTTAGCATATTGCACATTTTAAAATATGCGATATGTTTGCCTTTCCTAGAAAAATGTTTGGTTAAAATTAAAAAAAAATTCTATAAATAAGAAAATTGACATTGCGCAGTTGGCGCATGCGCACGTATAATTTTTACAATATGCGGGACGTATGCTTATCTTTACTAGAGGAATCTGTGGATTCTTGTAGAAAGGGAAATATAATAATAAATAAAATAAAAATATTTTGAAATTTTTTTGTATTTTTTTAAATCATTTGAATCTTTTTTTGAATATCAACGGAATGTTATCGGGCCTAATCTCATATTTTAAAGAGAACAACCTGTGTCTTTACTCTAAAAAGATAACATTAAATTTTCTTTTCAAAAGTATAACTCTAAAAAATTCAATACTGATTTAAAATACAAAATATAATATAATAATACGTATACGGGGATGGTTAAAAAAACTATCGAACCTAAATTGACTTTTTAAAGAGAACACCCTGTGTAATTTAACAGAAAAAAATAACATGTATTAAATTTTCTTTTTAAAATTATAACTAAACAAATTCAAAAATATTGTGGAAATCGAGGTGGAAATTCTTTTGTATTTTTTTAAAATCATTTGAATCTTTTTTGAATATCAACGGAATATTATCGGGGCTAATCTGATATTTTAAAGAAAACAACCTGTGTCCTTAAACTAAAAGATAACATTAAATTTTCTTTTCAAAAGTATAACACTAAAAAATTCAATATTGATTTAAAATATAAAATATAATATAATAATACGTATACGAGGGTGGTTAAAAAAGCTATCGAACCTAACTTGACTTTTTTTTGTTATTCTTTTTATTTTTTTTAAATCATTTGAATCTTTTTTGAATATCAACGGAATATTATCGGGGCTAATCTGATATTTTAAAGAAAACAACCTGTGTCCTTAAACTAAAAGATAACATTAAATTTTCTTTTCAAAAGTATAACACTAAAAAATTCAATATTGATTTAAAATATAAAATATAATATAATAATACGTATACGAGGGTGGTTAAAAAAGCTATCGAACCTAACTTGACTTTTTAAAGAAGACACCCTATTTTCTTTTTAAAATTATAACTAAACAAATTCAAAAATATTGTTGAAATTCTTTTGTATTTTTTTTAAATCATTTGAATCTTTTTTGAATATCAACGGAATATTATCGGGGCTAATCTGATATTTTAAAGAGAACAACCTATGTCTTTCATCTAAAAAGATAATATTACATTTTCTTTTCAAAAGTATAACACTAAAAAATTCAATATTGATAAAAAGATAATTTTTTTTAAAAACTCTGGGTCGATGCGGACCGAATTAAATGGGGCAAATTGGAATAGATTTGGGACAGAATTGCGTTTTGCCGGCTCAAATTTACAGAAAGGTGACGTGTGGAAGGCCCAACGCGATTTAACAGGCCAAAATATATTTCTTTTTTTGCGATAACTGTAAAACTACCCTACTTACTTTGATCAAATTTATACGGTGGACGCGTCTAACGTGCTCTTTAAAATGACCAAATATGGGTCCCATTGGTTCACGCGAGATTAATTTTTTAATAATTCTGAAACCCCTATAATTTTTAGTGGAAATAAAAGGCTACAATTTTTTGGTTTTAAAATTGTAATTTTTGACTGCATAATAAAAATGTAGCATGCGGCCGCGTTACCGAAATTACAGCGCATTTGAATTTTTGAAAACAAAGTTTGGGTCATTTCTATCATCGTGGTAGTTTTGCAATTTTGAATTTAAAATTTAAAAGTGATCCTCTTTTATCTTGGACGTAATTAACAATGAAATCAATAAACAGTTTAATGAAATGTTGAAGTCTTCAGTAAACAAAATTGCGAAAATTTGTAAATTTTTAAATGGTGCCTAACAATTGTTGTGTGGGAAATCAAAGACTTATAGTAGTCTTTACCTTCCCCATAAACATGCCAGATCAAAGATTTCTAGAAAGAAGAATTTCTTAAAAACAGTTTTCATTGACAGTTCTTTCTTGCAGATTTTACAGCTGTTCTAACAACTTCTCGGTTATACACTGTCCCCATGAGTTTATAAAATCTGAATGCATCTGCAAAAATTACTCCAAACCACCTCAAATTCATTTATCCAATCCTAAACCACGATTCCCTGAAGCTAGATACAGGCAATTTGGCTCTCACAATATGCAGTTCACCTACTTTATGTTACACCATGAGAAAGAAACACACTACCTGCTGATGACCAGTGATGATTGGCACCAAATGTTTCATAGTTACGACAGTATAATAAGCTAAATCACAGTTAACACTCGGAAGTGAGCTGAACGTTGTATTAAACAGCACGGCAAACGATTCCAAATGAATAATGTACGAGTCCTTCGAAATCTCAGTCATTATCGACAGTGCGTACATTCCTAACTAAAACGCAAAGTTATAAAACGAAAACACCTACATTACGCAATTTTACTTCTTTATCCAAAATATTATCACTTCCGCAGAGGGTGTGGATGAATTGTAAAACCTCAGGCCACGTATTGTTCGGAAACTCGTGCTTTCCCAGAATTCCGATGAACTGAGCGATGGCATTCTTTACGGTCTTGACGTTTTCGTTCACTAACGCTTGTAACATCCCCTGCTTAATTCTGAAAGGTTAAGTGTAGCGGAAAATCGTAACCGGGTGGCTCTTACCTTTTTCGTACCTCCGGATCGATCCTGTTCCAGTGGCTTTTCTTGCCTAGGCGTCTACGTAAAAGGACAGCTGCCGTTTGCCTGACTTCGGCATTCGAAGAACCGACTACTACATCGCACAAGGCCGGTACCGCTTCGGGTTTCTTAAAGGCCTCCTTAAGCTCTTTGGTTCCCTGTGTGAAGAATGGGAAATATACACGTGCATTTTAGGTTAAGTATACTTGGTACCTGCTCAATAGTTTTACTATTCGGCACTAACAGTTTTGCGACAATTTCTTCCATGCTTCTAGTGAAGATACACGCCTCTAAAAAGAAATTAATCACAGTTTATTAAGTAATTAAGATTAATTGGGTTGACTCACAATCTACCGAAAAAAACACTAGGACTAAAAAGAACTACCTTCACGGATCTTTGGCGCTACTACACAACTTGACACTAAGAGTGCAGATTACCTACTGATAACCAATAGATCTACTTCCCCTTTGACACTGGATACAGGGCGATCATAAAAGAGCGTTCTTGTCGATCTCATGGATGTTTTATACAATTAATTTGCAAATAACGTCTATTAGTTCCCAAATTATTTAAAATTACAAGAGCACAAATGTAGTAACTGTTATATTCTCATGCCTTAATAAACAAACCAGTAGTTTTGCGTTTATAAGTTTTTTTTTTGTTTTTTACGTTGTAACAGTTAACAATTGCTAATGACTAAGCTGGAACATCGTTGCTTGATTTTACCACCCTCTAAACTAAAGTAAAAGTTCGTGGTTACACTTTAAAACTAAAGCTGTAGTTAACACACTACACGTTTTCCCGATGCGTAACATAATCTTTTAAAAAATAAGGAGCAAGGCCACATTCTATAAGAAAATTTTTTTCCGGGTAGATCTGAGACAATTTTTTTTCGGGCCTCAAAAAAAGGCAGTGTATAACCTTGCTTTTTTACCAAAAATCGACCACACCAACATTTCTCGGGAAAACACTTTTTCTTATTAATTTTGGTGCGTAGAATCCAAAACAATTCGTACTTTTTCGATCAGACTTCTCAATCAAAAGTTATAGACTAGAAAACCAATTTCGAAAGAAAATTCAAAGGGCTGTAACTTTTGAACTAGTAGCCCAATCTTGGAACTGTTTGAAATTATGGATTCTACAGGCCACATTCTATAAGAAAATTTTTTTTCGGGTCGATCTGAGAAAATTTTTTTTGCGGGCCTCAAAAAAAGGCACCTTCCTTTTTTACCAAAAATCGACCACACCAAAATTTCTCGGGAAAACATTTTTTCTTATTAATTTTGGTGCGTAGAATCCAAAACAATTCGTACTTTTTCGATCAGACTTCCCAATCAAAAGTTATAGACTAGAAACCAATTTCGAAAGAAAATTCAAAGGGCTGTAACTTTTGAACTAGTATCCCAATCTTGGAACTGTTTGAAATTATGGATTCTACAGGCCACATTCTATAAGAAAATTTTTTTCCGGGTCGATCTGAGAAAATTTTTTTTGCGGGCCTCAAAAAAAGGCAGTGTATTACCTTCCTTTTTTACCAAAAATCGACTACACCAAAATTTCTCGGGAAAACACTTTTTCTTATTAATTTTGGTGCGTAAAATCCAAAACAATTCGTACTTTTTCGATTAGACTTCTCAATCAAAAGTTATAGACTAGAAACCAATTTCGAAAAAAAATTCAAGGGGCTGTAACTTTTGAACTAGTAGCCCAATCTTGGAACTGTTTGAAATTATGGATTCTACAGGCCACATTCTATAAGAAAAATTTTTTTCCGGGTCGATCTCAGACAAATTTTTTTCCGGCCTCAAAAAAAGGCAGTAGGTACTTTTAAGTTATTCAAATATTTGAGAACAATTTAGAAATGTTTAGGGAAAGTTTCCATTGTCACAAAATCAAATATAAAAAGCCGAATCCCCAAGTAATATGTTCGGTTTGAGGGAATATGGTGATGAAGCTGGTACACCGTACAATAATATGAAGCATCACAGGACCGGCTTCCCAAACGTTAATATGGTTTAAATTTGAGAGTAGTGTCCCATAAACAACATTATTACAAAATGTAATAAACGAAATTGCAAGCAAACCGCAGCGCAGCTCTAACAATTTAACAACAATGTAAAAGGTGAGTACAGTTACATTTTACACAAATAAAAGGTCTTAGTAGATTTGTTGCTCTAAATCGCATCATCCAGAAGGTGGGTATTCGAATTAAAAAATGACTTCATTATACGTCTCTAACTAGCGAAGAAGTATAGAAACTCTTACGGCAATCCTACCCCAAAAATGTCGGTGTACCTAGGTAAGCATATCCGGAAGATAATTTACATATTTTTCACGTTACTTACCGCAAATTTGTGTATACTTTCTGGTAGTTTATAATATTCTCGTAAAATACCGTTCACTTAAGCAAATCTATTTATGCGAACGTAAATTTATAAGAGAGAAAAAAATTATCTCGCGATAATGGGGTTACTTAGTAAAGATGAACGTGTTTCTAAAATTACGTTAAAACGGTTACTATAAATAGGGTAATTGAGTAAAAGAGACCGATGGAACGACACTGATTGCTATTTTATATGAGCTGTCGATGATGCCACTTTACTACTTGATGACAACTACTGGCAATGAACCGAACGCTTTTTTCTAATATCACATGTGATAATTTGGTACTTTAAAAAAAAATGCGCTACTAGCGGATCAGCACGACGTATTTTCGACGACTTAAAATATTTGGTTTTCATTAGCGGAAGAATGTGAAAAATGCCTGTCGATTATACTGCACTCAGTATAAGTGCAAATATATTTATTTCAATACAAAAATGATGTGTTCATAACCATTTAAACGAGAAACATTTATCGTGAAAAAATTCTAGAGTTCTACGCCCAGATTTTTGGAACCTCCTGTATTAATAGTAGGTCGAAAACGTTGGCACTAGGTTTACAAGTCGAAAATGTTAGGGTTCAGCTCAAATGCGGAACACATTTAAGTATTTCCAATCAGACAATATCGTTTTTGTCGAGTAGGTATTAATTATTAATGGGAAAATTAACTTCGAATCCTGGCATTCAGGCTAAAATAGCTTTTCTTCCTGAATATTTTGAACTGTCCCAATACAGGAAAAGAAGACCTTTTCAACAGTATGGATAACGAGTGAAAAGATACAAATCATCTTTCACTATTCAAAGACAACTCGTTACTAATGAACCGCTCTGTATCTCAAAAGTCAAAATATATAGTTGCATATAAAACCCGTAATGAACAACCCATCTCAATCGACTGCAAAACTAGTATCCGCATGCCTTCCTTAAACAGGCCAGGCTCTTATGATATACAAACAAAGCTGATGCTACCTATCCCAGGAGTTAGGAAAAAAGATTGGAAATAATGTTGACGAGAGATAAAAAAGAATATTGGCCATTATTAAAGAATATATGGGCTGAATAGACAGAGTGCTAATAGACTAGGAGAAAGAGAAGAAAACTTCTCAAATAATGCTTGACAAGCAGGATGACCCCAATAGTATATGGCGGAAACAAAGAAAAAATATTACGAAAACATTTTTAACATATCTGAGACATTTTTATAATTTCTTATAAATTTTGATCAGTTTTGGAGGCATTTCCAAAATGTTTTAGACATTTTAAAATTGCTACACATTTTCAATATGTTTCCAAATTTTTGTGCACATTTCCAAAACTAGAGACACAGTTCTGAAATGTTTCCCTCACATTTCCATCACTTCCGAAATATTTCTTAATTTCTTTACTTGTCCTACATTCAAAACTGAATATATTGGATCAATAAAGATTATGATTATGATTACGAATTAAACTTTTTACACTATTCTAAAATTGTCTACAAGTTTCTGAAACAAATCCAAAATTCTTTAAAATTCGTCTAGTCTTACATTTTCTGAACATTTCCAAAAATGTCTCATAAATTTCCAATGTTTAGGTATGAAACGTTTTGAATATTTCCGAATTATTTTCGAAACACTTTTTGAATAATTTCCAAAATTCTGTAAACATTTTAAACAGTTTTCAAATTTTCCTGCACATTTCCAACGTTGTTGAAACAGAAATCTTACAACAATTTCTGCAAAACTGTTAAAAACAGTTTTAGCAAAATTTGTGCAACTTACAATTTGTTAAATGTATGGTCAGGTCATTTAAGTATTCCTAAGATTCTGAAACATTTCCAACAGTTTTTCCACTTCCATTTTCTAAACATTGTTAAAATATTTTAAAAATGGCTTAATCATTTTCCAGCCAGGGGTTGGAACCCATACGAAAGATAAGTTCCGGTTCTGTGGTCTCAGTAATTTTCGGTTCCAGTTACCGATTTTTAGCGCATTTTTTAAGAATTAACCAAATGTGCTATTGTTTGCGTTTTGTCCGTCCGTCCGTCCGTCCAGACCCACTTCTGCCGTTGTAAACTACTTCTAGGGGAATGCTCCTAGAGTCCTGGAATTTTTTGCAGTAGGTAGTCTACACCTTGAAGGTGTGCCAGACGGCCATTAAATTGCGCTGTCTAAAAGGGGGCCCCCCACGAATTATTTCCTGAGATGCTGTTTTTGAAAGTAAAACGTGCATAACTTCTACATACGACAACCAATTGGTCTCAGAAAGGAATTAATTTCTACCAACCATAGCCCTCCTCCTCGACCTCTTATCGTGATAGGGTATATTCCCTTATACTTCAAGAACAAGAGCGGATTGTCGAAAGAGGGTACTCACAAAGGGCGATTGAGACGTCTGCAAGAAATATATCCATTGGTGATGTCAAAACAAAAGCTATTTTGGTTTTAAAAAATGCGCCTTATCTACACAAGAGTTGTTTACAATTTAGGACACAATAAGGATTCCCACATAAATAAATAAAATTATTATTAAGGAATATAAATTATTATTAATTATACACGGTGTCCTCTATTTGAAGACAAAAAGGTTAATAATATAATATATTTTTATTATTTATTTCAACTACCTTGTTTTAATAAGGCGCCTATAAATCAATTGTCTTTAGCCAACTGTAGTCAGCTTAGGGTACCAATTGAGTTGTTTTATATCAGTGTAACCACATTGGCACTTTCCTTGAAACTCTACATGAACACCATATCAACGTATTCAGCTTATGAAAATATTACTAGCACGATAATTAAATACGACAATTAACATTGCTTATTTATGCTCAATTACTACCCCAAGTTTCAACGATTGCATTCCTCACACACTTTTCAACCCCCTTACTGTTTTTAATTCATTTTCAGTATGTGTGTTCAGTATTTGCAGTTACGTTGGTAGTTTGATTTTTTGACTTCGAAATGTATTGCAAATTTTACAGCTTGAACGTAATTCACAAGACAAGATTATCGTTTTAAGCAATAAAATCAACTAAGTACATATTTTTTTCAGTTATTTT